AATTTTGGAGTACTTAGCAACGATTACCGAAATCATCTTAAACTATCATTACCTCTATAAGTTGGTTCTGGATTTTGAGATGTCTGCTAGTAAAATTGAGCTTGAAAAATTCCTTTCCCACTTTATTTTTGGTGCTGTATTACTCTAGAATACTGGCCGCAAAGCAGTGTTTCTTCTGGTATGCCTTTCCTTTTCTGTTTTTCTTTGAGAGAATTCTAAACCAACTTTCTAATCACTTCGTTTCCTGGTAAGACTGGGAAACTTTTACCTTCTTTCAGACGCTCTTCGTGCAAGCGCATTTCCCTTAGTACGGTCATCGCAATTTGGTTTTAGATCTGTAAAGAGTTTATATATTACGACAAATAAATGTTCTGCTAATGATTTTTAATATTTTTGACACTTGTTCATTGCTGATTTAACCTTAACCTCCTACTTTTATGCCCAAAACTTACTGGTGGAGTCTGTTTGGCAACTAGTTAAGTTTTTAAGGCCTGAGAATGCAACTTTATGTATAAGTTTTGGAAAACCCTCATTTATTACACTGATGATTCTGGCTAGAACTCCATTCTAAATGGAAGAAAACTTATAACTGTTTCTTTTCAGAGTTTTGAGAAGAATATGAAGTGGAATGTAGGTTAGTTGAGGTTAGAAGGGTTTGTTGAGGCACAAGCAGAAATGGCCTGGGATAAGCATGTTGAGCAAAGAAGAGCTGGTTCTGTAGGGAAATCTTTAATTGATTTAACTGAAGTGCTTTTTATAAAAAGTGCTTCCAGCCTTTTTAAATCTTCGTTGCTCAGGAATCTCTTGTTTTGTTAAGGTAAAGGATTGGATTAGGAGCTGCATCTATATTTTGAATTTTAATGTTGAATTTGCAAAAATCAGTCTATTATAGTATGATGCGTCAAAGTAGAAATACTTTGTCACACCCCTAATCACTGAAGGGTTGTAGAATTGGAGAAAATTCTTTTTTCTTTAACTTTTTATTTTTCGTCAGTGAAACTTCTTTAAGGTTTTCTAGATTTTAGATACCTTCAGCTATGATTTTTCCCAACAGAATAATTATGATTTCATTTCTATCTATGCTAGCTTGAAAAAGCAGCACGTGTTGGATGAAAATTAGAGAGGAGTGGGTGTTAAGTTATTACTGTATACAAAGGAAATGTTGTCTGCAACGTCCCACAGTAAATAATGCTGAAATCTAATGAATCTCTTTCAAAGAAGTTTGCTATTGATATGTGAAACAGAAACTAAAAAATGTTTTGTTATTTCTGTGCACTTCTAACTTTCCTTGAAGTGAAAACATTGTTGAAGTTCAGTCACTATAGCATTGTGAGTAGCATGCTTAATTCTGTCAGCAACAGAATGTTTCCGTAATGCTTTTAGGGGAAGTTGGTAACAATTGATCACCGGTAAAAAACTTGAGCCTTGAGAGCAAAGATTATAGTTAAAATACGAAGATGACTAGTATAGCCTGTATGATTTGCCTTTTAAGACTCTTACTGCCGTAGTTCACATCACGTTATTTTTTTTGATACAATGTTTTGAAGAAGTTAGTTCAATAATAACACCATAAATAATACCTGCACTTCTATTAGTTAAGTAAGATTGCTGGTAACCAGAAAAAAAACTAGTCATTACTCAATAAGTCAGAGTCAATTTCCGTATTGGGCGTTTTGTGTGGACGGGACTGTTTTTTATTTTTTGAAAATAATATTATTTGTTTTAAGACTGTTTATGGGTACGCCACTTGATGTGTCCTTTTTGGATACCGATCAGACGATTATTGGAAGTTATCTTGACGTAGGAATTCTTGCATATGACGGCAAAAATTTACATTTGCTTTCCGGGTTTCGCTTAAATGTGGAAGGAAGGATAGTCTTCACTCGAAATGTGGTAAGTAATTTTTTACTTTTAAAGATTTTCAGATACCTAGGAGTTATTTTATAGGATTTACTACTGCAACCAAGTTTACCGGCAAACATAAAGTTTAACAGTATAATATCGAATGAAATCGGAAGTCGAGTTGCTTTAGTAGGAAGCGGAGATGTTTTTATTGTTGAGATGCCAAATGATATTTGGGGTCGTATTTCGCCATATTATCCCATTATTGGAGAGCACGTTCTTCCAAGTTACTACTGCAAGTACGTATTCTTTTAGAAGTACAGTAATATTCTTTTTTTGCAGTTATTGCCAAGATTAGTACACTTTAGATGTGCGCTGTTGGGCAGTAGCATTCAGTCAGGTGCTCGCTCTTACGATATATTAAAGGTTCAGTGGTACATTAAAGAATACGATGAAACAGGACCAAAAATTAACAAAATAGCTTTACTTTATGGAAACAACGTTATCAGGTACTGGAACAATTTAACATAGACAAATTGTTTTAGCATCTTTTTTAACTTCTCTATTCAGTTATAGTCTCATAACTCCAATTTTTATTTTTAAGATTAGTAACGTTTAGATTTATGACACAAAATGAATGCGTGCTGCAGTCCATGTCCTGCTAACTTTTGTCAAGCCTATTTTTTAATTTTAAAATCGTGAACTTTCTTGGCGAGACTTCAATCCTTTTCTGTTTTTTTTTCTTAGAATGTTTGATACGGCTGGTACACTAGATGTCCCCCTCCTGAAAATCGACTTGAGTCCTTCCGTTACGGAGCTCCATCCTGAATTGTCTTTCCAAAATAGCTTTGGCCTTCGTAATAACATAGGTATATTTCTCATGATTTTTCTCCTGCTGTTATCATCTACCTTTAAAGTTATTGGGGACTAGTGATCTGTGCGAAGTTAGTTTAATTTTCGTCTGCCAGGTTTTTGTTTCACGTCTAGTGTGCTCTTTTTTTTTAATCAATTTTTTTTGAAAGGCTTATTCATTTTCCGCATTTTGCAGTTTTTGGAGATAGTCCTTAAATATTATTGCTGTCTATCCTGCTGCTGTATACAGAAAAGTGTTCTAGGCGGTTTAACAGATCTCACAAGAAGGATTTTATTTTTAAAAGCTCCCTGGGTCAAAGCGATATTCTATTTTTTGATTTAGAGTTCTCAATGACTGTTGCATGAAAAAACTCGAGGCAAAGTATTACTAAATTGCAGCAAGATGCAGTGCTTCAAAACTAGTGGCACAGAGGCAGTTAGTCGTGATTATAATGGCAACTAAATCTTAAAAATGAGTACTGCATACTTGAATGTATTGCACAGCAGCTCCACTAGACCACACGCGTAAAAAATGACATTAAGAAAAGCCTAGGGATCCAGTTGCGGACTCTTCAGCACTCGTGTCATTCTGTAACGTTACCTCTTGGATTATGACTTAATCTCATATACGTAACATCCCTTCCGGAGAAAAAGATCTCGTTGAAGAAAAAAAGTTGGGAGTATTTCTTTTATAAATCGAAGACGTTTTGCGAGGAGAGCATCTGGAAGCTGGTTAAAAGCCAGCAAGAGATGATAAGTTGCAGTAGTGAGCAAGTAGCGGATTGGGGCTGTATTGTTAACCCATTTGGATTACTTGTGTTTCATTGAGCGAGCGGAACAACCCAGTGTTTTTTGGGTCAATTCGTAACTTGTTTAAAAGACTTAATTTTTGTCATTTTTATTGAAAAAAGTAGTTGATTCCAAAATCATTTTTGACACTGAATCAGCTGAATCAGTTACTTTATCGGATACTTTCAGTTTCTTTCGACTTTGGTCCTGTTATTGAAATTGAACTTGAAGACGGCGCATTTAACACAATATTCGCAATAGATTGTGAATACAATGTTTTTGTAGTAACCTTTCGTTTTGATAGTCCCAGGCAAGCAATTTTCTTCATTATTTACTAATTAGATCTTTTACGGTGGACTTTTATTGTGAAAAGCACGGTTCAAAGCACCAAAAGATTGGTTTGTAGAGTTCTTCCTACTTCTGGTCCATTTCAACTTTCACCACTGAATTCCGAATTATGTGATTTTGCTTATGTCCGCCATTGTTCTGGCAGTAATCTTCCAATATTTTCCCTTATTTCAAATACTGGTGTATTGTGTCACTACGTTTCATTACCGTCAAGTGAGGTAATCAGGCTATAAAATTTTAGGGGACATATGTCTATATTTCTATACATGTAAGATTCTCCCATATTCAGCTTATAACTTTTCATTATTATAAGAATAATTTTGGTGAATTAAGTTATCTTCTGTGTGTAGCTCTTAAAGTTTTAATTACTTTTTTTTTTGAGTGCTATTTAATCTTTTCAGGTTTTTGTTGAGAATCAAATTGATTTCACTTTTTTGGTTTACGACACTATTCAGCTTGTCAGAGAAAGCAGTTCCTTTTCCTCTTTCAAATTTATTGTTGGTTTGTAAATTTTTTCTATTTTGTGGTCGTGTAGCTCATAATATTTCTGTATTACGTTGAGCGTATTTTGACTATCAGTGTGAGTAAGCACTGGGTTCTGACATTAAAATAATTTTTTTTTTTCTAATATTATTTTACAGTTTTTTTCAAAGTAGATTTTTTGATGAATTTGATCTACAGATTGTTGGGGATCTGGTCATTATTTTGTGATTGGGAAGTGTAATGCCTATTTGATTGATATCACTCCTTGGCTTAATGTTATAATAAATTCGTATAATTCTGGTACAAGGTAAGTTGGTTATATATTTTTTCAAAGTGACTAGTTTTTATAGGTGAACTTGTATTTTTGGTGCAGAAACTCAATTTTCTTTTTTATTTTTGAAATAATTTTTTCTTTTATACGGAACTAAATTAACAAATTTACCACGGAAAGTGTAGGCAGAAGATAAACATGTGGAAAACAATTGCTTTCTGGAATTGTAGGTATCAGTTTTAATAGTCATAATAGATTTTGCTGAAATTTATTGTACTGAAAAAAATGAAAGGTTTAGATGTGTACTGACTCTCACTAATCACTAATAGGAGAAAATATGGTGCATTTTGTAATAGCTGTTCATTCATTTTAGTGTGGAAAACAGTGACATGAAAGAAACGTCGGTTAACCACATTTTTTCCGTCCTAAACGGAGAGTCAAAGAGCAGTAATCCTGAAAGAGTTTTTATAACGACCGTAGCGTCTTCCTTTATGAAGGCTGATGACGTTCACTGTATAGATTCTCCTGAAGGAGATGCAACTTGCGAGAAGAGAATAATTGTTGCTGTCGCCACAGAGGACGGGATGATACTTACTAAAGTAATTCTGTAAGTTTACTGCCTTTGCGATACAGAAAAAAATTATTTATTATGTGCAACTGTTCGAACTTTTTTTGCTTTTTACTATTTTAATACAAATTTGTTTTGATTAGAAGCGTCAGGACAAATTATTTGACAGGCTATTGTGCTTCATCGATGGTTCATTAATTATTCAATTATTTCAGATATCAGCTGCCGATTAGCGCTCCTCCTTCAAAAGTAAAGCTACCTCTTTCATATCCTCAATCTCAGTCTTTGCTTGAGAAGGTCAAAAGTCTTTTTGTTAGTCAACCATCGATTCCAAAGTTGAGGTATAAGTTTTTTATTTTCTCAAAGATTATTGGTCATTGTTTTTGGGAAATTTTATTTGTAGGTGAAGCCGTTTTTCTGAAAATTTTTTATTCGTCTCATGCAGTGTTGTCTCCTGACTACATCTAACTTTCACAACAGTTTTTTCTTTGAAATGCTTTTCCGATTTATTTACGACATAATGCTGCGTTCTTTTTTACCATGTATGTTGTGTTATTGATTGGTTAGATGGTGTTCCTATATACTTGAGTTTCATTATTTTAGATTGGTCAAATCGATGTCTGAAGAAGAGGCTCTCACCACAGTTATCACAGTTATTGACCGACTGGTCGAAAGACTGTCTTTGATTAAATCTGCTTATGCTATAGTCCAATCAAGGTAATTTTGATTTTTCTAAGCATAAATCAATAATTCATCTACATATAAGGCCCCCTTATTTATTTTTAGTGTTAGCAATGCTCTAGAGGAGTCGGAGAAGCTAAGTAAGAAACAACTAAGCCACAATGAGCGTTTGCTTGAAATCGTTAGTGAGTTTACTTCTATGAAAACCCAGATTTATGCGATACGTGAAGAAGTTAGCAAGGGAAAAATGAAAATTGATCAAGTACTTTGCTTATTGGTGATTTGTTTGAAAGAATTCATTTGATAACACTATTTCATTTCGTTGCAATTACTTGATTGTTGTCGTGAGGTATTTCTTAGTTCGATTTATCATTTGTTACTTCAAATAATGGATGTTTAGGTATGTAGTTTATTAGCATCACGTATGTTCCCGTTAAGTGAGGCTGAAATAGCAATGCAGGGAACACTGGAGGATTTGCAAACTTCTCTTAAAGGACTCAAGGAACAAATTCCTTTGGTAATAATAATAATAATAATAAT